CACTGACTTTTTCATTTGTGTTACAGTTTAAATGGTATCAGAGCTGAGGAGACGATAAAATGGTAATAAAATAAGGAAAGTGTCCAGCAAAGTACTACATATTTATATTTAAGGACTGCTCAGTCACTCCGAGATCCTCATGGGACTCTGTATGAGTGCTTTATTAGAGGCAGGTGCATTTGGATGGTAGATTAGTTAAGCATGTTGATAAAAGACTCAGAAACAGTGCTAGTATCAAATATATGTTACGTCCTACACGTGCTTAATTAGAGTTATAAACATTTAGGTCTTTTACAATGATTCCTAGATCATTTCCAATAAAAATACAATCTCTGTCTGATTTCTCACTTATTCCTGTCCTACCTAGTGCTTCTAATTTTAGTCTGAAATGAATGAGTCCCAGTATTTAAAGTTTAACCAGAAATGCTCATATATTGGGTGTTCAAAGCATTTTGACTGGCTGTGTAGATCTGCCCTTTGTTAAGTATGTTGAAGTCTGTACAGAGAGAATTTTATTTTGAGTTTTGTCAGCATTTAGAGATGAGTGACAAGAAGATGAGATAAGTTTTTGTTTTTTTTAGAAAGAAAGAGAAAGTGATGCGTGCTGTACATGTGTGTATGTGTGTAATTCTGACTGTGTTTGCTTCCGTTTTTGTGTGTGTGTGTGTGTGTGTGTGTGTGTGTGTGTGTGTGTGTGTGTGTGTGTGTGTGTGTGTGTGTGTGTGTGGAGGTGTGTGAATGTGACCTGAGCACTGGTTTTCCATGCTTTGTCCAGTCTGGAGGAAAACATGTCTGACATGAATAGCTGAATTGCTGAGCTATCACTCACTCTGCTCTTCTATTCACCCTGCCTCTTTTTTGTTCTTTTCTTCCCCCTTGTTTATTTCTTTCCTTGTCCTTCAAAGCTGGATATAAACTGCGTGGCTCGCTAGCTAGTTCGTTCATCTCAAGACAAGGTAATGCTCCGTCATTGTTCTCACACACTCCCCACCCCGAACCCCGATTCCCTCCTCCCTACCCCCTGCTCATTTCCTGTCCCACAGGACCCAGTGTTGTTGTTGGTGTTTGAGTTTTTATTATTTTGTTTTGTCCAGATGATTTCTCCCCATCTCCCTCCCACATACCTCCAGCCTGATACGACCCTTGCGACCTGTATTTGTGCATGATGTCATTTCCACCCCGTCAGTGCATTTGGAATTGTGCATTGAATATGACGTGTCCATATGTGTTGTGCGATTTGCTTTGGAAAAGTGCCCTGTTTAACACAAGCATGAAGGGAGAGGACTGAGAAGACTGTTTTAATGGCATAATGGGGTTGTCAACTGTGTTTTTGATTCATGTTTGTGTGTGTTTGTGTGTGTGTGCTTGGTTCTATTTGTGTGTAAGTATGATGTTTATGATGTTGTATTTGGTGGCTGTTAGAGGTCATGTGTTAAAATTAGCTTGACCTAATAAAAGCCTGAGCTCTGTGGGCACATTGCTGGGATTTTGTCGGTGTTCTCTGATGGACTGACTAAAGTGATGGTGGCCGTGTAGACCTGCCTAGACCCCATAAACCCTATTATACACCTATCTCTCCCTGATCTCATGTGATCAGAGCTATGCCTGGTATTTGGAAGCTTGTAAAGGTTTTCTCCTTTTCTCAGATGTGTCTGTTTATCATCCAAGGTTTGTTTCTTTTGTTTTTCAATGGAGCTACAGTGTAGTTTATGAGTTAGGGATGATTATAGCTTATTTCTGACAGTTCAGCATTGTGCAAACTGTACACATGATTCATCACACACTTGCAGCAAAGGGCATTGTTTTTGCACTCTTGTTGCTTGGTAATATAAATTTTTACAGTTTAAAATATAATGGAATAAAGACAACACCAAGTCCCAAGTCATTTTAACCTACAGGTTTGCCTTTAGTCTTTGGGCTGGAGTCTGACCCTACATTTACACTAGCAAGCAAAATGTCCTTCATCGATTGTCTCTTGTGAGCGTGTTTGCTTGTGGGTGTTCACTGTTGAGAGTTTTTTCAGTTCCATTGAGAAGCTGTAGTAGTTATATAATGTATAAGCTAAGTTATACTATATAATAATCTGTGTGAAAACTGTCTTCCTTGGCAGCGAATCGTATTAGCCACCTACACTCCCTAGAGGCACCACGATCTCTGCTACTTCCTTCCAAGATTTATCTTCCCTTCTTAATGTCGTTATGCACATTTAATGAGAAGTCATAAACGACAGGACAAGATGAAACCACAGTTGTAACTTTTTCCTTCATTTGTATGTGTGTCAAACGGTAAAGGGGAATGAATTGAAGGTAAGAATTAAACTCGTGGGGAATGCAGTGGGATCGTTCCATGAGATTGGCCCCGAGGACTCATTCAAGCTAGTTGTTTGGATTTGTCGTTTACAGTGTCAATGCTAGTGTGCATAGAATTGAGAACATTTCACTTAAAATGACACTTGGCATGCTGCCAATGTTGCTGAAACCATGGCTCCATGTCACACGTGTACATAGAAAATAAATCGTCGCTTTGTCACTCGGGTCATGCTTGTGTGGAGTGATTCCAAACTATGTGCTGAGGAATGTGATTCCAGCTTCAGGATGACTGATACTGTAGCTGTTCAATGTCTTTTAGTCCATTTTCAAAGATAACGGGTCAGAAGCCAAATATACAAAGCTATTTGGGATAATAAATAATTGAGGTGGCTATAGGGAAAAGGAAAAGGAGCAAGATTTGGCCATCAAACATGTCTTGACTACAATTGGATCATTTACAAATTTCCCACCAAACGAATCACTTTAAGGCTCACGAACAATTCAAAAGCATTCAAAAGAAATTAAATGTTGTTTATCTTAAGGGTCATAGGCTATAGCCGTAGTCAGAAAGGGTGCATCTTGACGAGGCTATGCTGCTGTGGTGTGTGTTCACAGCGGAGGGTGTGTGCTGATGAGGGTGAAGTCGCTCAGCGTTCAAGCGGCACTGCTTTTCTGTCTGCTGCTGATTGATGTGCTGGACAGACTCGCATGCTGAGGGATGGAAGCACTGGACACACTGGATCTACAATCACTCCCTCGTTCATACACACCCTATCAATTTGTCAGAGAGAGAGAGAGAGAGGGGAGAGAGAGTGAGAGGAACAGGCAGGAAACAGTGCCGGGCGCATAATAACGTCTCGGAACAAAAAATGCTGAGTGAGGCCAAGCTTTGATTCCATCTGACAGAACCTTTACAAGTGTTCATTACTCACAGACTTCAGGCCTCCTTCAAAGCATACGCACAAGTACACACAGTAACACACACACAAGATCGAACACTCTTTAAACTGCTTGGTAACCCACGGTGTTTGTTCTGTTATCTTTCTCTGGCCAGGGTTACTCTTGACTCACTCTTTACTTAGCCCTGGCCTCTACTTTTTATTAGTCTCAATCAGTCGCTCTCTCTTCCAGCATTATATTTGTCACCTTGTGGAGAAAGAAAATATTAAAGTGCCGTTTTACAGCCAGGTTGTTTTGTCATGTGTTTCCTCAGCTCTGTTTTCTGGCGATCCTGTAAAAATGTATCCGGGGGAGTTGGTTGCATAAGGCTCTCTTTCCATGTGGTCTAGTGAATATGAACCCATTTTTGCAAAAAGTATCATTTAAAAAAAAATTGCATTTTTTTTTCTTTGACATACTTTCTGCCAGTGCATCTCCAACCACCAATTTATATGTTGCTTGTGTTATTGTAGTGAGGCTCAATAAAATGACTAGTCTGATTCTAGTGAGAACCAAGTTTGCTGTAGCCAAACAATTTGACCTTTTTTTGCTTGCAGATTATAAGAGATCTGTAAAAAAAAAAAATTTTATTTGCCACTGCTATTTATTATATCATATCATGAGACATTTTTTTGTATTGTATCTTTAAGCTCTTCAGGTTTAGTGCACCTATTACTTTCAAATCCTCAGAAACCAGGACAAATGCGAGTTTTACGTTGCTCTAAAACTCATCTTAATCACTGTTGAAGAAAAGTTGCAACACCCTTATCATAACTGTCATTAGAGCCATAAATCTTTATTGATGTATGACAGCATTTCAGAATGCACCCGTATGCATGTGTGCTTAAGTGTATGTAGCAGTTAGACGTTCCCATTAATCATGATGTGCAGGTAAATGGAAGGAATAGAAGGTGCGGTTTAGCTGAAAGTCACTACAGAGCACAGCTTTATCTCAGCACACTTCTTTGATCTAGCCCAGCGTGGGATCATAGGATTCTGTGTGTGTGTGTGTGTGTGTGTGTGTGTGTTAAAAATGTTCTGATCCTTTCTACATACAAATTCCTCTTTCCCTTTTCCTGTGTTTATACATCAGTTCGTCGTCTTCTTTCTAACTTTCTATCCTGTCTGTGTCACTGTGTTAGATGGTGTGTGGGGAATATAGCACTGCTGGGTTGTTAGGTTTTAGATGTGTGTGTATGTGAGTGTGAGGGAAACGGGCATGACGGGGTGAGTAAGAAAGTGTGACTAGATGATTAGGTGCATAAATTTTACAATTTCTTCTACAATTATGTGTCTGCGTGTGTCGTGGAGACACAGTGGCACAAGGCACTAGGCACATTTCTGCCTTGCTCCTCCAGGATCTTCAATTCAATCCTGAGCTTGGGTTACTGTGTGTGTGTGAGTGTGTGGAGTTTCAATGTATGTGCCATATGGGATTTCTCTGTTTGCCTCCAACCTCCCAAAAACATGCCAGGAGGTTGGATTTATTACACTTGCCATAGATGTGAATGTGTGTCCTGCAATGGACTGGAATCCTATCCAGGGTGAATTCCAAGCTCATACCTAGTGTTCCTTCAGATCCAGCACATTCCTGACCAGGATAAAGTGCTTACTGAAGATAAATGACTAAGTTACATTACATTGACAGCATTTGGCAGACCCTTGTCCAGAGTGACTTACATTTTGTCTCATTTACACAAATGAGTTTTTGAGGGTTAAGGGACTTGCTCAAGGGCCCAACAGTAGTTGCTGGGCAGTGCTGGGGCTTGAACATCTGACCTTCTGGTCAGTAACCCAGAGCCTTTAACCACTGAGCCACCACTGCCCCAGTTATGTGTCTTTGTGAAAGAGTGAGAGAACATGTGAATAACTGCTATTGAGATCAAGACCCACCTTTTTTAATGCACATTGTTTCTATAACATAAAATGATGACAGTGTTTCTCTGTACTTTTACTCACACAGAAGGTCACACTGCTCCACTTGGGACTCTTACTTTCTCAATAAAGTAGGTTACACTTTATAGCCAGTATCACTGATCAACAAACAGTGTTTCTAATGGCTCTTTCCTACACTTTAACAATCCTCTTTCTCTCTGATGGTAATTCTGGATTGAAATCCTCTTGTAATCTACTGCATTCTCTCTGTATGTTTCTCCACTTAAAGTGCAGTACATTTATCAGAAATATTTTTCTTGAAAGTTTTTATCTTGCCATACTGAACATACGGCAGGAAGTGCTCCCGTTTAACAGCCGGATGAGATATTAGTGTCCTCGCTGTCCCATCGCCACCCATCCATGCTTAGTACTACAGTGGCTAATAAGCTCACACCGGTCCCTAATTGCCTCCAGTGTGCCTTTCTATCTTCTCATCAGATTGCATTGCAGGTGTTAAGCTGCAGTAGGTTCATCCTCATTTGTGTCTGTGATGAATCTCAGAGTGAGGGAAAGAGTCTGATGAGTCTGAGCCTAATAGGGGATAATAAAGCAACATTATACACGTGCTTCTGATCCGTTGCTCATGTTTAACCCCTGCTAAGCCAAAGTGTCCAGAGACAGTGTGAACGATGTGCCCTTCGCTGCTGCCTTGTTAAAGAAACACTTCAACCAGAAAGAAAATGCATACAAAGTGTTATACTGAAGGTACTATAGCCTTACATTGAAGGTGAATGTTGCTAACAGTTACTGTACAGGAAGAGAATAGCTTTTCATTGTCTAAATCACAGTTTTTTCCACTCGATTCAAAAGATTTTTGTGCTCAGTAACATCATTTGTACATAAATAGTTTCTTAAAACTTAATAGCAAAATACATCTTTAGTCTATATTAAATGGATATATACAATGAGAATCACTTCTTTTTTTGGTTAGTGGTTAGTACGGTCACCTAACACTGCCAGGGTTGGGGGTTCGTTTCCCACCGCTGCCCTGTGTGTTCGTGGAATTTGCATGTTCTCCCTGTGCAGCAGGAGTTTCCTCTGGGTACTCCAGTTTCCTCCCCCAGTCCAAAGACATGCGTGGTAGGCTAATTGGCATATCTAAAGTGTATGAATGGGATTGTGCCCGGCGATTGATTGGCACCCTGTCCACGGTGTACCCTGCCTTCTGCCCCATGCTCCCTGGGATAGGCTCCAGGTTCAATGTGATGCTGTAGGATAAGCGGTATAGAAAATGGATGGATGGATCACTTCTTTGAATTTAGGAGCACATCTCTGTGCCTGAGTCCAATTTCTGATACTAATCTTTGTGCCGAGGATGAAAGTTATCCTGTTTTTTACAGGATAACTGTAAAATCCTGACATTTTACAATATATTAATGAAATCCACTTTGTTATAGTTTTCTCTTTTGCTTATCCATTCATATTAAATAATAATAATAACAACTGACCTCATGAATACACGAATATATTTGTAGTATAACTAATGAACATCTTAGGGGTCGGAAAAAAAACTTGATTTCAATCAGAAAATTGATCCGCCAGTCTATGTTATATCTGTGTCATTTTACATGGCTAGAAAACTGATATTGGCATAGAAAATGGATGCGACAGTTGGTCATCATATTTGCATGTATCTGTGTGTGAGACCGGGAGAGAGAGAGAGAGAGAAAGAGAGAAAGGGAGACAGAGAGAGCCCACAACACACCACCAGGTCAAAAGTTTGGAAATACTTTTTTTTCAACTAAAGATCACATATATTAATGCAGTTACATACACATAACTTGTCATGTTACCAAGAAACTGGAAAGCACAAAGAGCTTCAATCCAGCTGAGCCAAATCATATGGAAACAGGCCTGAATCCGATCGTATCGGTGAAGAACCGAATCCTATCAGATCAATAGTGTATCAGATTGTTACTTGTTTAACTGTAGAACATGTTTGGTTCATTGTATTGTGATGTGTATTTTATCATCTGAAAGAGGAAGATGCTAGGGAGACTTTTCAGTTTTTAGTCTATATAATATACGGTACATTCATTACAATAATTTAGAGAATCTGAATAAAATTACCCTAATTATAATGGAATTACTAATTATAGTTATAGCACTATAATTTAGCTACGATATTATAGCTATATAGGTATAGCACCTATTGTTGAAGGCAAAGAATAATCCAGAGAACATTTGAATTTAAATAGTGAGGCTCTGGCAGGAAATTCACACTCTCATTCACACTTTCTAAACTTCCCACTTAATGGTTATGTCACTTGTGTGCTGTAGATCCTGCGTCCTTTGCAGCTTCCTTGTCCTCCTGCTACCTCCCCGTTACACACACACACATTTACACACCTGCAGCCCTCTGTGCCGTTCTCTCAGCTGTACACCAGCCTGTGTCTTCATTCCATTGCCTTATTAAAACTGCACTTATCAATCATTCTTGCCAGGAATGCCATCGCCCACCACATTAAAGAAGTCAGAGAAGTCTGGTTTCAGCAGCCCTGTGCCTTCGCAGACCTCCTCCTCCCCCCGAACGGCATTCACACACCATCATCGAGCAGTCATTACAGGACCCAGAGGTGAGGTCCAAAATCCCCAACCCCCCTCCTCCTCCTCCTCCTCCTCCTCCAAACCCTGCCAGCAACACCTTGAGTCTCCTGCAGAGCCCCTAAACACACCCAGCAGCACCCCTTTCTGCTCCTCCCTCTGCTCCTCCACACCTCCTTTTCCCAGGGTGAACCTCCCCGGTGCAGGGTAGACATGTTGGGAACCCTCTTCTTTGTGCAAAACACAGCTGGAGCATGTGTGTGGTGAAGAGACGCTTTGCTTACAAGGCAAATTGATCGTTTAGGACAGATGTGGGTATAATCATGCTCTTAAATTTTAACTTCTGAAATGATTTAGTCATTTAATCTATATTTTATACCACTACCGACAGAGCAAACATTCGGAGTGGTGCTACACTATGCATCCATATCACATAAACCACAATATGGAGGCAATTTTATCATACATTTTAGCATTTCAGATTTCATACCCCATGCACAAATGTTTTTTTTTGTTTTGTTTTGTTTTTTCAATGTTGGCTTCTCCAACAGTAATACTGAATCCCAAATGGCTTTCTGTCCACTACAGGAGTGCTTCTCAAAGTCTGTGAGGATAACTGAGATCAGTGAAGTATAGCCAATGAGTCAGTGAGGTTTTTTTTTTATATAGATATAGTCCCGGAAATCACAAAATTATATCTAGTTCTTATATCTAGTTCTTAATTGAAAGGGTATATTACAAGTAGACTTATAATTAATATCATTGTGGACCAGATATGTTCTGTTAGTGGAAAGTTCAGAAACAAAAAGCCCCATGGCCCCAATAAATACACTGTAATACACACTTAAATAATGTGCTTCATACTCAAATTTTTGATTATGTATTATTTTACAGTTAGAATAATATTTCTCTGCAAAAAGTTTGGGAACCACTGCACTATAGTATATATGCTCACTATATAGGGTGTAACATGGTGCCTACGTAGCGTGCTCCATGCTAACAATTAGAAATTCAGCCACAGAGCGATTCCAAAAAGTGACTGTTGAAAATCTTTAACTATTTACATTTGATATCACATATAGGCTTTTGATGTATATGTGAAAATAAACGTTTCCATTAAATTCAGACATTTATTTTAAAACCCTTGTCCCAGTATTATGCACAGGACAAGATGTTTATCTATAAAGCTTAGGAAACACATGTTTTAATATTTACAACATTTGAAAATGATCCTTTTCCTTTGTATATGTAAACAGTGTGAAAATGTGACTAGTATTTACACATCTTCATAATTCATCTGATATGGTCAGGGTATAGGACAATTCCCAGGATTACACATCAGTCTGTTATCTTTTATGTAAATAAACTTCAGAAACTAACTCCAAGAGTAAAGGGTTTTCAAGTTCATATTTAGTCTAGATGATGTCAGTGCATCATGTTCTGTCACTTGGTGTAAATTTAAGGGAAGATTTCAGCATGCGCACACACACACACACACACACACACACACACACACACACACACACACACACACACACACAGTCATATGTGTACCACATACATGGTTGTTGTACCTGTTCTGTACAACTCTACTTCCTGCCTGGGATTTCATCACAATATTTGCTTTATGTTTTCAGCCTAAAACATTTTTTTCTCACTGACTATTTGTGTGATGCACAAATATTCCTAGTGTTGTAACACACATACCCAGGGGTCACTCCGTAAATGAGGTGTTAGTGTACACCTACATTGTGTACCAGTGATCCATCAATACACTGAAAAGAAAAGCTTCAAGGACCCACCAGACTTTTTTCCCCACCAGTATTCCAAATCATCAACCCTAGAGTGACTCAAAAGCAGTCTGATGATTGGACGATTGAGAAGGTATGGACAATAGAGATGGATAATCATCCAGAGAGGATATTTAGGGTAAAAAGTAAAGCAACTCCATTCCCATTGTTTTGATATGATTGCTAAATCAGGTCTGAAACACTTGGGTGATTGTTGGTTTGATAGGTGGAACGATGTGGCCCAGTGTGAAGAGTTGCTGTTACAGTACTAAAGTTGATTATTTTCCAATAACTGCACAAAGTGTTTTATTACGTTTATACCACACCAACATGACAACACTCACTTTTTTAATTTAATAATTAAACCTCATCGTTTTTATTCATGTATAGTTACATTTAATGTTGTGGAACGTCAACGAAGCAAGTTAGTTTCCATTATTACTTTCATTATAGCAGCTATAAAAAGCCATTCCCTTACCAGCCTCTCTTTTATTTCTTTCTCTAGTGCATAGTCATCTGTACTGAAGACTTTCCTTTGTCAGAAATTGTCAAAGTT